CTTGCAAAGGTTCATGTAAACGCACGCTCCGTATAAACACACGCTAAGGAGCCCTCCCGAGCACCGTGCGTTTAGGCGGAGACTACTGTAGCGCTATAAGAAGAGAATTTTCAAAGCTCTTGACATACACGTTTTTTGTTGTTGTGGGAGATGTACATGAACTTCAGAGGACCTGTCTCTGAATAAGTTTCCATAAAACCAACATCACGCCACCACAGTGCTCAGTTGAAAAAGGTGGAAGGGAAGGCACCTTATTGATAGTGGACTGACACATATGAACAGCTTGCTCAAATGTGATTGTGATTGCAAGTATTTTATGCCCTGTTAGACACAGTTTAGAATATCATTTAGAAAGTTGGCTGCTTCAGCCAATGATGCTCCTAAGTCATTTTTCAGTTGATGAAAATCTAGTAATGTCCTAATTTCATGTCTTTTCCTGACTTAATCGTAATTGTTCTCTTCCAACTATATTGAATGTTTATATCAATTATGTAATGAGCTTTTACCCTGATTATTTTTACACAATGTCATAGTGGGTCAGTTTGATATCGCAATTTTTTAGGTAAAGCCAAATGAAGTTCTGGTTAAATGACAAAATAGTAGTGGGTGTCGCATTCAACGAAGTTGCTGGGACTGGCTTGTTTTCCTCGTTGGATCCGACCTCTGGTTGAACGTGACTAAGGCTAAAGTAAAGAAAGGAGACAAGTTATTATATTATAGGATGTAGGCCTACCCATACCAGTAATTACTACAGTTTTTCCCCCTGATGATGAAAATCTCAAACAGCATCAATGTGCACGTGTTTGAGTTGTGATCTGACCGTCATTTCTGCATTGTCAAATATTTTTTTTTACTGAACACTTCTCGTGTGGAAACATACTCTCTCACATCTAGGCCTAGCAGATATCTACATAAAGTAAAGGCGGGAGCTTGGATTTTCTGATCTGGGGAAGAAAAGAAAATTGAAAAAAATGAAGGTCTCGATCTAGACCTACCCATCCAGAGTTCATCCAGTTTCACACAACCTGCATCACGTTCCCACCCGCCTCCTCCCATCCCTACCGTAGGCTAACCCTCGCTCATCCTCTTGGCTTTGGGGCCCATATTACGAGGCACACTAGATCCAGCAACACACTGTGTTAGGAATCGATGATTGGCCTTGTGCTTCGCGTGAGATGGAAAGGAGAAAAATTCTTCGCTTTTAGGGCCGCCAATTGCTTTTATTTGGTTATCACCTCGTTGAAAGCGACTTCGGTCTGTTTGCAACCTCGTTGGAGCCGACATACATTTACAGAGAGGTATAGAGAGGAAAAAATCGGGGATTAAGGATTGCCTCGTCAGAGCCGAGTTCTCGTTGAATGTTACCTCGTTGAATGTTACCTCGTTGAATATTACCCCGTTGAATGTTACCTCGTTGAATGTTACCTCGTTGAATGTTACCTCGTTGAATGCGGCACCCACTGTACTGCAGTGGTGACAAAGTTTGTTCCTTTGTTACCCTCGATTTTGCTTCTAATTTTGTCAGCTCATCCAACCTGAGTGAAGAGTTCCAAGACTACCTGGAGAGAGCCCGCACCTGGCACCAGACCACAGTTGTTGCACAGGTGGGTGGTTTTTTTCGAGCTGTTTTTGAATGCCAAATGATAGAACAATGGTTTAGGAATGCAAATGCGGGAAAATCTCAAATTGCCCAGAAAATGATTTTTTAAATTGATTTTATGAAATGAGTGACTTCTTTTATATGAAAGGATCGAGGGGCGGAAGGGAAGAGAAGCAGGGTGGGGAAGCAAAGGGGAGTTAGTTAATCAATCAGGTTTCTTGTCTGTCGTCTTTCATTTTGCCGTAAAAAATGACATAATTGCCTCTGTTTGTGTTGTGTTTTAACTTGGAGTGGTTTTTCCTTGTGGTGCGGTTGAGAGGACAGCGTTGAACGTGATTGGTCATGTTTTGGGTTTTTCAGTAAAATCCATACATAAAAATGTGTTTTTAAATGGATATTAAAGGCATTGAGCCAAAAAAACGAAAATTCTATTAAAATTTTCCAAACCGATGGAAAAAATGCCCGTTTCGTCAATTATCATTACCGGTATTTCGACGAGCGCCTGGTTTCACCAGGCTGCCTCACATATTATTTCTACATGGATGTTTGATGTCTCTTTTTGTTGTTGTTATTGCCGGACTATAGCATAGATAAAGCACACAAAGCAGTATTATTAGTATGCATGCATTTTCAGTACAAAACCGTACACTTGTAAACTGTAAGGATGTCAATCTAATTGAAAAACATCTATGAAAATTTGACAGAATGCTGGCGAACTTTCTGCTTTTTACCTGGAGTACCTTGATGATTGAAAATTAGTTTACAATAGTCTCCCAAATATAATTCATTTATTTTTTCTGGTATCTTTCGTGAATAGACTGATGAGGAGGTAAGTACAGAAATCAGCAACCCAGTGTTTGCTTTTTTATTTTGTGTTTTAGAACAGTTAAGTTTATTTAGATCTCTGTGTAGCTTACCTCTGACATCTTTCAAATTTTTCTTTGAAATAGACCTACCACTTTTATCATTTTGCCATTTAAAAAAAAATCTATCTGAATTCTTTTTTATTTCTTGTTAAAGAAACATAATTTTAACATTTCCACCTTTTTGTTTGCTTTTAAGTTTTTTTCTCCCTGGCTTTCAATTGGACTATTAGGATTAGATTCGCTGTTGGTGTTTTCTATGTTTTAGTGGGGTTTTTTTTTTTTACAAGACTTTTCTTTTAAATCAATTGCTTCTAAATATATGAGACGAAAATAAACTTATTTGCAAGATTTTGTAGATATATTTAGCTGTTTTTTTCTCTCCTGTGTTCTTAGTTAATAGTTTGTTCTTTTTTGTCAGATCTTTTTATTTACTTTCAGGTATGTTTTGAAATTCTTTATAATACATGTATGTTGACAATTTTGCTTTAAACATTTTTTGGAATATCAGTAGGCCTAAACATTGCTTTAAGAGAGTTTGTGTGGTGGGTGTGCATGACATAAGGTACTGTAAGTAATATTTTAAGTTGTTAACATACTTCTTCAACAAAACTGCTTCTTTTAATTTTAGTTTTAGTTGTCTTTGCGGCACTTTTAACACAAATAGATCACATAAGTTTAGATTGGAGGTGTGACTAGAGAGTAACATACAAAGAAAAGAAGTAGGAGTAGGAGAGATAACGATAAATTAGATGTTTTAATCAGAAAGATGGAGGAAACCACACCATCACACCCACAAACCCACTTGATGAATAAACCACAAAAGTAAAAAACTTTAAGACCGACATACATTTGTGTTTTTTTTATGGATGTGCTGCTTGCGGCTGTGCGAATTTTAGTGCTTGTGCAGGAAGTTCTTATTTGAATGGAATGTATCTACACAGTAGAATATTAATAATGCTCTAGTGATAATGCCGCGATTTTGGTATTTCAAATTCAGGCCAAGGAGACACTGGACAAATATGGCCGCCCAACCACAATTCCAAAGCGGAAGGTGAAGGTCAAGTCTGGCTCGACAGCATCCCAGCCACGCGTTCCGGTGGATGAGGCGAGAAGTCTGAGTGCAAGGGAGGTGAAACAACGCCGCGACTATGCCCACTTTGTGCTCCAGGAGCGAGAGACAGACATAGCAAATAGGAGGAAAGACGGACTACTGAAATTGTACTTGCCTTATATCAAAACTTGAAAGACAGAGAGAAATAGGCGAGAGAAGGACAGACAGATATAGAGAGAGACTGGGTTTTTTTCAGTCAAGTATCAGAGGTACTCTTTTCAATTCATTTTTTTCTGGATGATATTTGTGTCTGAAATCCAAACTTGTTGGCTACATGGAGGCATTTGAGCAGACAATAGTTCTGGTAATTTTTGTTTGAGTTGAAATCCTGAACACTTTCCACACACCTTGCGAGCAGAACGCAAAACCTTTGTCTCCACGTACCAGAATACAGATGGCTTACATCACTACTTTACCTTCATATCGGCACAAATACCTCAATCATTATTAAATTTTCAGCACATTGAGAAAATTAAACATGACGATCGCATATTCACCAAAAAAGGAGTTAGAATCAGTCAGTGAAAAGCAGCACTCATGCTAGGTCTACTCGACATTTAAAAAAACCCAAAATCCACTCAATTGTAAACAAACTGATTTTTGCTCTCATAGGCCACACTAACCATTCAGAAAGGAAATTATGAGGGAAGGTAGAGTTTCTCAAGTTTCTGGTTGTTTTTCTCTTTTTTTCTTTGTAGAGGCTTGGGTGGCTTTTTTAGAGAGAAACTGAAATAAAGTGTTATTTCAAAGTTTCATTCTCTGGGTACAGTGGAGTCAGCTTAATCGAACTTGGTCATTTCAAAATCAGGGGTTAACCGAAAGTAGCATCCCCAATTTTTTTTCTTGTTTGAGAAAGCTGTTTAAACTGGAAACCCAGCCAAACCAAAGAAAATCCAGAAGCCCCACAGATTTCAATTTAAGTGGACTCCATTGTATAATTCTAATGATCAAATTTGAACACTATTGCACTTGTAATGCCAGGTGTGAACGTTATCTTGTTTTGATGTTCAGAAAACTGTTGTTATTTATTTGAATTTGTGGCCCTGAATCCATTTTTAAAGCCTAAAGCTCATGCACGAAGAAATTATGGTTGTTGAAAAAAAAAACAAAAAACAAAACAAAACAAGTGAGTACATTGAACTTGAACAATGGCTTTTGTCTACTTCTTGTGAGGGGTTTCTTTTGTGTAAAGTAGCATGTAATGTTTTATTTGAAACATGTTTAAAAAAAAGAATGAGACTGCTGCATTTTTTTTTTTTGTACAATTTTAATTCCCACTGGGGACAAGCAGGTTATCTTATATTATAGATGCCGACATCAATTCTGTTGTTGTTAGCAGTACAGACAAAGGAAGTAGGCTTATACAGAAAGGAAACGACAGGCCTTCATTAAAATACTCTTAATAAGTCCAAGTCTTAAACATGTCTAGGGCGACGAGACATTGCATGGAGGAGAAAAGTGGTCTTCTTAGACAGGTATTCCTCTTGGACACTGTCATTATAATATATGTATATATATAGAAAAAATATAAAGATGGAATGGGAAATGGTCATTTGTATTATAAGGTTATTATCTTAGGTAGAGGTAGTCGTTAAAGTAGGTCTGACGGTTTTACATGTGTGTTAGATTTTTCACACATGTAAATTTGTTGAGCAATAGAAGTTCATGTTTATCTTATTTTTACCCTAAGAGGGAATAGAGGATCTTTCATAATCATTATCCTCTCACCCTCTTCCTGCGGTCTGAGGTGAGGTTGTGAATATTTCATCAAGTTCTCTATTTATGATGGCTGGGAAAGGATATCGTTCCCATTTAGAGGTCACGTCTGGAAAATGGAGTTTATGAAATCAGGATGCTTCACATTAAGTTACACATGTGATGTCTCACGGGTAATGGGCGGTAAAGAAAGAATGTGGTGGTTTAGCAAGATATATGATGCTGAAGTTGTTCCATTAAAATAAAAAGAAAAAAGATCCCCCCCCACCTCCCCCACCTTAAAAAAAAATTGTTAATATATCTATGCGATGTAATTGCACTCATAGACATGCATTGCTGGCTGCTTTTGTTGTTGACTGATGTTTGAAGAAAGAATCCAATACAATTTTTTCTGTGATATTTTTTATATATGTTTGATCTTGTTGGTCATTTGTGTGTGACTGTGTCTGTTAAACCACAGTGAAAAACTCTGCAAAGTCAGTCTGCCTTCATCCTGCAGACTGTCCACTGTCATTGTAGTTTTCCGCGGGTGGATAAATCGCACCGCAGAACTTCAACTGCGGAATTTTAATTTTTCGCAGAATTTTGTAGCATTATTATGCTTGAATCAGACGAAGAGTTGCGAAAAAAAAAAGTAAACCTAACCGGACTGACGAAGTCGGTGATCTCCCTCTCACCGGAAGCTAGAGTGGTTTTTTGTTTGTTTTTGTAAACAAACTCGATCTATAATCAAGATTCTATAGAGATCTAGATGGGATTTCAAGATCGCCTATGTTTCTCAACAAAAATGGATAAATGTACAAAGACAACTGGCATTTATTATTTATAGCGCTTTCCTCATCAAATAAATTCTGACAATTGTGCAGCATAATTGATAGTTCAAAAGAAAAAGTTTGATCATGTAACGCCAATCTTGAAAGGCTTTCACGGGCTGCCTGATCAAAAGAATAGACTGCAGAGTTTGTGTAGTCGGCTACATATTGGCGGCTCGTAGGGCTAAAAAGTGGGCGTGCACAATTAAGCTATCACAAGTTGAAGATAGTCAAGGGCTTAGTAAATGGGATGGTGTATACTTTTAGGATCTTTGGGTTGGTGAAGGACCATATACTTTTATTTTCATTCTCTTTACTTGTCGCTTTGATTTCTAGAACTAAATCTGTTTGTTAGTTAAACATCAATTTCGTTCATCCTGCTTTGGAACTGAACACTCAATTAATAACTTTCACCACTCCAATACAAACCCATTCAAATACACAACTCATAGGACGGTGGCTTAATTAAGTATATCAGATTCACCTCCCTCAGGTTCAGGGTCACAGAGTCACTTGTCAGTGGCATGACAATGAACCAATCACAATTCACTTGAGCAGTCTGCTGGATTGCTCCGGGACTCACATATTTTTGCCATATATGTACAATAGTGAACAGTTTATCGTGTTTATTTTTAGACTGCCTACTGTGGGCTATGTTTCGTGGGTGCACATTTGAGATGTGCCATCTTATTAATATTAATGTACCACCAAACTTGCTACGAGTGTCACCATCGCTTGGGTTATCCCTAAGAGCGATTTAAACGTCAGGTAACCTCTGTTGAATATCCTATTTTGTTTAGTTAAAGCGCATGGACTTTGTCATGACATAGTAGATGTTTTACGGCGCTATAGACAGAGATGACAGATACGGCGCCAGTGAAGACCTTGTTTTGATATAATATTTGGCTAGTGTCTGTTTCTGGCTTCTTTTATTTTATGTTTGTGGGTGCTTTACGAAATCGAACATAAAAATTTTTTGGGCGGCACTGCAAAATCGTGCTCTGTGGATGAACCCCACCTGCTACAAATGTAATGAAATAGCTCAAACGGCCAGCTCACTTGGTTTTGACATTATACAATGGTGTCTCATTTCTATGAGTCACACTTTCTGCTAGTATTGTGTCTCATTACTATGGGTCACACTTTTTGCTAGTGTTTTATGTCATCAGCTTGTGTTTCTTAACAAAAATACAGATTGTATGCTGCTAATTATAATATGGGTTTTTTAGTGTTTCCTTTGCTACTTCTCAGCTTATGATTAATTGGAACTTATTTTTTAAAGTAGTATGGAAAAAGAAGATGGTCGCAATCCTTGCAGAATTCTGACAGAATTTGGTCATTTTGGGCATAAAATTCTGCGCATAAATTTGAAACTTTCCATGCAGAAAACTACGATGATAGTACGGTACAGCCCTCATCTTAGCAGGCTGTTAGGAGGGCACAGTTTGTAGGTATTACTGTTTTACTTTGCTTCTCCCCAGCACTTCAGGACTATTATTATCTCAAGATGTTTCTCTTTGGCCGTCGTTATTCGGACTCGAGCCCGAATATGAAAAAATGTTATTCGGACTCGGGTCCGGAAAAAAGGAAGTGTCTTCGTTCTATAGTTCTAACGTTCAGTGCTTCCAATTTTCCGCCATTTTTAGTCCCCCCCCACCTTTTCTGCCGATCCGATGCCCGCCGCCTCATTGATACGCCCCCCCCCCCCCCCATGTTTCCCACTTTCTTTGTTGTAGAAAAAGGTGAAATTGAAGATTAGCAGACCACCTGGCACCTGCATATTATGAGCTGTTTATCCAGAAAAAGTTGTGTTGCTGTGTAGAGCTGAGCATACAGCAACTTTTGATTCCATAGACCAGCGCACAATTCATAACGTAGATCTACATCAAGACTAGCTTATTATTATTGTAATAATGATCAGTTGCCGGGGGGAAAAAGACTGACGTGTATGCGACGTTCAACGCCCGGACCGATAGTGCCCACCACCCTCCCCGACACACACACAGCCACACGTGTGCAGGCCGCCCATCCGACCCCGACACACGCTAACGAGCCATCTTTAATTGCTTCTGATGACCTCTTGACAAATAAACATTTATTAGAAGCGCTATAACTTTTCAGGCCGGCCTCAAATTCATCATAAGATTAAAACTCGGCTCCTGCACAAAACGCCTTTTTGCCCGAAGTGATCCCGGTCTCTACCCAGCCTGAGGCGAGTCACGAGTGAGGCAGGACAGGAAGCCGCAGTCACGAGTCACAGGAAGTTGGAAGTGATGTCATGCTGGACAAGAATCAGAGTCCGAATAACATTTTTTCATATTCGGACTCGAGTCTGAATAATCACTTCGTTTCTCTTTACTAAAACAAACAGCCTCCATCCTTGCTTTAAAAATTTTTTAATACAGGTGTTTTATGCCCCCATCAACACAATCTAGATCATACATGATACTACATCCAAAAATCTGTGAAATCCTTGGCTCGACCAGCAAGTCACCCTGACCCCACTCTGTTGCATTTTCACACAGATATACAGACTTACACAATAAACAAAGACACAGATTCTTCAGTAGTGGCGAAATACTTTAGTATTTGTTTATCCTATTTAAATGAAAGAAAGAAATACATTTTGCAGTGGTAGTAGTAACCAAGTCCATGCCATAAGGACAGACACAGTCACTTGCAGAAACAAAGATGGAAAACGAAAAAGCATACACTTGCAGCATTCAGCGAAACTAAACAGTGTACCCTTGATCAGCGAAACAAAACCAAGAGCACACTAGCACTGCGAAATAAAATGGTGTACACCTGTACATGCACTGAAGAAAAAAATCTCCCCCACGAAAATGTACACTATGTACACAGAGCCATGCTTCACTCATGTATATAATATATCCTCGGTATCAGGATTGCTATCTGTGAAACTAAAATTAGCAACACATTTTTTTTACGGCTCAATGTTGGGCCTGCACATATTTTTATCACAGGAGAGCTTCGACTTGACCAATACGAGCGGCTAAAATTTTCAGTCATTTCGACATCTTGCTGTAAAATCTGCACGACTTTCCTTCACGCTGACCACTTCGCAAGAGGTTGAGAACAAAAGATCTGGTCAGAAGTACCACAAACTTCAATCATTTTCCCACCTTCTGTAAAATTGAGGTTTTATAGGCCACAAAGAGTGTGTGTGACATTGAAAGTTTGTCAATGCAAAGGCATACACATCGGTTTATGTCTATTGGATAAGGTAGAATGCGTGACAGTTGATAGGCAATGTCTCAACGTGAGTAGGCCTACATTCAAAGAAAAGATTTAGCCCACACAAATACAATGACATGCATGAGCGCACACAGTAGCAGAATAATACAAAAACACGTTTTACTCCTTCATAAGACAAACATTCTGAGCAAAACGCGGTGGCATGCCTTATTTTGGTCCCAATAGGAAAAGACTGAGCTCCAGTATTTGGTACACATGTATTTGTTATTGCAAACCCTCCAGACCAAGCACTATCGAAGATGATGATTTGACAAACAGGTATCATTACAACAAAAAACAAATATGTGGAGTTATCTGATATATGCCCAGCAGCAATTTCTGAAATGAAAAGGGGAAAAAAATCATCATCTTTGAGGGCAAATGTTTCTTCCCATAAATACCTCATTCTTAACTAAATCAATTTCAAAGAGTTGAAAAAGAAAAATTGTCAACTTAAATTCTAGTTGGGAAAAAACAAGGGTGGGGATACTGGAAAGGTAATTCTAGAGGCAGACCATGAATTAAGTCGAACACTGACAACATGCAACCCCCCCACCCTCCCCACAGTTTTTCACACAGTCAACAAAAAAATTTCATGAATGCTATGATATCTAGCTATATACCAGTCACAAATTTCATTGAGATAACCGAAATATCAACAAATAGACAAACACATGACTTGAAAATTACAAAACTTATTTGCTTTTTAACTGAGTGTAACTCTGATTCAATCTGGAGGAGAAATCAAGACAAAGGTGGTTACATACCACAAAAACTTTCTTCCACTTGTAGTAAATCGTAGGTCCATATATGGAACCTGCCTCATTTCACCAGGAAACAGATCAGGGTAACAGTTACATTGAAAAAGAAGTAAGAACTAAGAGCATGCTACATTTATGAACCCATCAACCACCCGTAGAATACCCGAGGAAACTAAAAGACGAAACAAACAGAACTAACTAGATACACCATCTGTCTGCCCCAAAGCTCAGCATGCAACAGAAGAGGAACAAAAGAGAAGGGAGCACGAGAAACATCTGCAAGCTGGTACCGACATGCCACATAGAGGTAAGGGACATCACATTACATCATAAAGTAGGAACTACATCTGCAAATCACGACAGCCAAAAGTCATGGAGTTTTTCTTCACACGAACAGGACAATAGAGCACAGAGGAGTCCGTTCACATAAACTGACCACTGGAAGATCTCCGCTTTGTGCATAAGGCCAGTAGTGAGTGAAAACTTCTGCAGAGGTCGCTCACTCACATGATCCCATCAGAAGATAACGATGGTACAAGGGCTCCCTTTCCTACTAAACGACATGATACGCATGCAAAGTTAATAAATAGCATCTTATCTCCCCTTCCAATTGCCACCTTTCCCTCTCCTTTCTGAATACGTACAGAAAAGAATCATGAAGAAAAGCAGCCTTGAAGTTTATCCACCCAAGAAAGCATCAAACTGAAAAATGTTCCATAGAAAACCATGCCAAGTACTAAATAAATACTACCATGAAACACATTGTAAGCCTTCATCTGATCTAATCTATGCAAAAATAACATATACACTTTCACCAGCAACATAACGTTGCCATGAGCTTCTTTTATGAATATGCACACATACATACATACACACACCATCACTGATGAACGGAAACCTGAAACTTTAAAGTACCAGGTACAAACACTCTTCACAACTTGCAACTTTCACAATCACACTCAAAACACACACACACACATCATGTAGAGAAGAGCAACTTGCACAGTGGACAATGTCAATTCCACATAGAAGGATGGCAAAGACGTGGTTCCATTCACTATGTACCACGTCACTCTGAAGGCACAACTCCCGTCCTCAGATCTTTTTAGACAACAGCAACAATATATGTATATTGGTATATACTGACACAGCTTCATATACATACACATGTGTATATATATATATACACATATGTTGGTTGACTACGACTTGCCATATTAGTAAAAATGACTTCCTTTCAGTTAAAAAGTTTATTTACATTCACAGAGTCTGTTGAAGGGGAGCGCATGGATACAGGAATACAGTTAACTCTGCTTCAACCAAAATCTGCAGGACCACCGGATTTTCTTCGGTTTAGCAGCTGTGTTTTTAGTTTAGAGAGCTTGCTCAAACAGAAAAAATAAAAAATCAGAGATTAACTGATTAACTGATTAAATTTCGGATTAACTGTTTTCAATTTAAGTGGACTCCAACTCTAGAAAACTCAGTGATAGTTCATGTCGCACCGATGGTTCAGAAGTCCGTCCAAAAAGACGTTCAAAACACAGGAACTGGAGTGGAAACCTCTGCCCTGACCAAGATTTGAATTAGCCTCAGTAAAATAAAAACTGACTAAACATGCCTGAAAGCAAAAATAATTGAGTTCAACCATTCTTATATTCAAA